TGCACACATCTTCAAACTTTCACTTTCTTCTTCCGCAAATTCGCAATTTTTCACTCCTCCTCTCAATTTCCTCCACATCCAGCCAATCTTCATTCATCAGAAGTGATAGATCTACCATCAGAGGAGAATTCTTGTAACAACGCATCCTTCAAACACATCGAAACTCACACATCACACCGTACTTGTTAAAATACAATTACTACAACCATAACCAGCCCTCGCGCTATTAAGTTATCGCGAGCGTTATTATGTCATATCACAGTTCTTGTACAGCTTAAGAAATTATTCAGTGTAAACGTAACTTGTCAACTATGATGCTCTTATAAATAGGAATGTTTTAGTGTTTTCTTCACTTCTAGATATACGGAACTATTTTTTAGAATAAGATTGGATAGACCAAGAAGATAAATATGATGACAGAAAACTTCCCCGAAGGCCGTTTTTTTTTCATGATGTTAAGGTCCACCGCCACGTCCTTGTAGCTCATAAAAACACTGTCTGATATCCTGTACCGTTTCGATCACTCGAGTCTAATATGACTGATACTTCTAGATGTTGTCAAAAATCTATCATTTCATAAATTTACACTCGAGGATGAAAATTCTGTTTATTTCGCAACAGAAAACAATTATGATACTTATTGCAACACCGTTGAAATTTGAAAAGTTCTGACATTTTTTTTAAAGAGATTAATATCACGTTTGAAAAGTATCAGAAAAAATTGAATTTTTATATATCTGTTCAAAAATTTGCTACTTAAAGCAATTGAAGATAATTATACGTAGAGAATGAATTAAAGATACTAAGTATACCTTACATTTAATGCAGTATGACTTTTAGTAAATAACACTATTTCATATTCCCAATGGAGAATAATCATTTATGAGAAAATAATCTACTTTAATCGACACATCGAAAAGACAATGACTTGTCCTTGGCATTCGTCGAACAGAAAATATGAATTAGTAATAGTAATTAGTAATTTTGTGCAAACATCAATAACGATAACGACAATGTGAAAAGGAAGCATCTAGACATAATTTACTCACTTGTCATGAATCATACGCTATGAAATGCTATTATTACCATTCGACGGTCCTTGAACAATGACGATTATCTGTGTGGCTAGAAAAAAAGACTGCCTGATATTGAAGTCTATGAGGTGATTAACCCTACGATTAAAACGACATCTACGGTTTGTACTTGTATTATCGTTGTAACATTGACACACTTGACGGGCTGATTCTCGTGCCAGTTAACACTGTAATATGTAATAAACAGAGTTCGAAGACTCTCCTTGAAACGTGTTATTGTGATACAGCAGTTTTAATAGTAGAGCTTAACTGATTCGAGTGCGGCAGAACGCGAGAATTTCTGGATTGTATCGCTTACAGTCAATCACAGAAGTCAGCGTATAGTCTATGGAAGCGATGTACAGCGAGGTCGTGAAATCAGTCAGACGTCAAAATATGTACATAATTCAAGTGCCAAAACAGCAATTCGAGGAAGATAAGGATCTGGAACCTAGCTCAGGGCCGTTCGATGTCAACTCGGTATTGGTACAGGCAATCCTGCTATACATAATACGGTACTCTGAGAACACTGAGAGGTGTGCGAGAACCCGATGCTCGGGACGGGTCGGGAAGGCATTGGCTCGAGTCGGGTCGAGTTCCCGATAATTTCGAGGATCCCGAAAATATCGGGATTCTTGAGAATGTCAGGAGTCGGGATTCCAAAAAAGTACCGGGGTTCTCGAAAATGTCGAGACTCCCGAAAGTTCCGAGAACCCGTTTAATATTATTAAAAATATAACGATACTTTTTGTAATAAAAATGATTTCATTTTAAGCATACT